CCCCCCCCCCCCCCCCCCCGCCCCCCAGTTCCGGCGTCCCTGCTACAAGTGCTTTAAATGGCTTCAAAAATGACTCATCTTATACGAGTTCATTGGCGAAGTAATTTTTAAAATAAACTTTGTCTAAACCGAGAAAATCAAAGCTAAAGTTTATGTAAATTAACATGATTTTGTATCACATATAAAACCACGACACGCTTATGATTTTTCTTTGTGTTTTGCTCCTGAATTATTAATGAGTTTTTGAAGATTAGATATATATTAAACTGAATTTTTAACACTCGTCTGGTTCGCTATGCTTATAAATGAATACAGACTAGAGATTCAATTCAAGAAAGTTCGGAAGGGGCGAAATGTTAATAACATTCCAATAGTCGGATCCCGACCGTTGGTGTGTGCAGAACGTATGCGCAGAACGTATGCGCAGAACCGATTTTACATCACCCGAGGATTTAGCTCCGGGAAGTAATTTGCACGTTTTTTTGTTGTTTTTTTTTTGGTTTTTTTTATATCGGCATGTTGTAAAAGACGGAGTGGACTGGACCGGACTGAACTGGACCGGGAAAACGCGGACTGAGTCCGTGTTTTACAAATTGCGGATTGAATTTGTAAAACACGGACTGGACTGGGAAAACGCGGACTGAGTCCGTGTTTTACAAATCGCGGACTGAGATTTCTCGGAATCATTCAATACCGTCGCTTGCAACTAAGGATGAACGGTCGCAGATAAAACATTGTCTATTCTCATGACAAAGTACCATGTTTTTACCGAGAAAGTTCAATGTTTGTGATGATCATGATCATTTGATGGTTTCAAAGCTTTGATCTGGTTGAACGTGATTGGCTGACCAGATTAAAACCTATCAAGTGCTCTTGACAAACATCGAAGATTCTCACGCGAATAGGCAATGTTTTTATGAACGACCGTTCATCCTACAAGCGATGGTACATGGACTCAGTCCAGTACTGACTCAGTCGTGAGAGTTTTGGCGGGAATTGCACTCAGTCGTGAGTTTTGGTGGGAATTGCGGATAATACATCAGTCAAGGAATAATCATATCCTGGAGCTAAGGTTGGTATAATTTACTATTATTTGTTTATTGTTTTGAATAAACAGATGAACAGCGTTCAATCTTAGGAACACGCTTAGTCAATATCCCTCAGCGAGATGTACTATGGTTACTGAATATTGCAGCAAGGAAAGCTGTTTTACGTCAGAAGGGACGGTGTTTCCAATGTCTACAGTCGAATCATATTATCAGAGATTGCCCATCAGAGAAGCGATGTTTCAAATGTGGTCAACGTCACCATATGATGATGATGAGAAAGTTCTTGGTGTAACATGGACCAACTCCACTGACACTCGTTTTTCGCCTCGACAAAATGGTGAACTGCGAACCAATTACGAAGCGTGATCTCCTCAGTTCAACTGCAAAGATTTATGACCCAATGGGATTAATCTCACCGTAAAAAAAAGTTGGCGTCTATGAGATTGGAGATTCTGTCCGGGACGTAACAACCCAGCAGATATTGTGTCAAGAGGTATGTTACCTTCAGAACTGAGTCAGAGCAAGCTATGGTGGAATGGAATGGACCAGATTTCTTGGTAAGAAATGATCCCGAATGTTCTAAGGATGGTGAAGAAATTATTTCTACAAACGATGAGGCTCGAATTCAAAGCGAGAGAGAAATCAAATCCAAACCAACTAGTGCAGCCAGCTTGCCATGTGCCAATGACAATGTTACAGAAAAGCAATCGCAATCATCGTAAACTGCTAAGAGTTACGAGTTATGTTCTAAGATTCGTTGCAAACCTTCGGACAAAGGTTGCTGGAACTGAACCAAATCTAAGTCATCTTTCCCTTGAAGAAATAACAGAAGCTAAGCATAAACGGTATAAGCACATATACAAGGAGCGATTCAAACAAGCAAAAGTTTCAAGCAAGTTCAACCACCAGTGGGTCTATTCAAAGACTGTGGTATCTGGAGATGTGGTGGAAGAATGTGCTAATATTGAACTTTCTGCTAGACATCCAGTTTTCTTGCCCAATGATCATTGCTTTTCTACCTTGTTGGTGGAAGAATGTCACAGGAGAGTAATGCACAACGGTGTAAAAGAAACACTTTGCGAAATTTGTTCAGAACATTGGATTGCGAAGGGAAGACAATTCGTCAAGAAGATTATTGCAAAATGTACTACGTGCAAGAGATACGAAGGAGGAACTTATCAAATACCACCTCAACCATCATTACCAGATTTTCGAGTTTCTGACGATTTTGCCTTCACGCGAGTCGGTGCGGACTTCGCAGGTCCCGTTTATGCCAAACCAATCTTCTCAACAGGTACGAAATCACGTGTTTTTAAGACGTATATCTGTCTATTTACGTGTGCCTTGTCACGAGCATTGCATCTCGAAAATGTTTATTTCGGACAATGGACGTTATATTTACCCGGGGATTTAGCTCTGGCGGCCTTTCGCACGTTTTTTTTTCTATATCGAGCACATGGAAATTTAGTTGTAAGTTGTTTATTTTGGTAAAAGCATAGTTGCCCGGGTTTCTTTTGTTTCAACAGGGTCGATGTCACCCTGACGACTACGCATTAGGCAAGTGCCTCACGCACATAAACGTGCAAGGAACAGCAACAGTTAGCTCAGAGCCGTCAATAGTCTATCATCCGATCCCTGAGTTGCTGCATCATTTAAATTACGCACGTGCAGTCTCCA